CCTACTTTTAGTAATCGTTAGTTCTCAATCCAAACTAATTTACGTACTTATACGAACCATTGAATTAATAAGATTTATCAGAATCGTTTCCAACTAAAAATTAATACATCTTCTAAACTGATTGATGGTAATAATATTTTATTACCATCACTAAATTTAGGCAATATTTGAATTAAATCTTTTTTAACCGACTTCAAAAAATTAGAAAGTTCTCAATTCGACCAGATTATTTTTGTGTATGTATGTTACGCGCTTACTCCGACTTTAATTGTGAGCCTTTTACGATGATTCTTTTTTGTTGGAAAGGGGGTACCTCAGTAGCGGTCCCATTCAAATATGAAGAAAATATTCCACCTCGAAGAGTGGCTAAAACCGGTTTATTGGATTTCACCAACTTACCTTTTTATATGATTTTAATAAAACTTGGCAAATAGATGTAATTTCACACAAACTTTTGAAATCGGTTTTTTTTATAAAAACATAAACATTTCATCGATAAATCATCATGAAACCAAATACTGTCGTAACTCAAAATTGTGGAATTGAGAAAATGTAATTAGAAAATTAAAAAAATACTGAATGGATCTTAATGCGAATAACGTGTTTATTTTTATTTATACATAATATTTATAAACGTATATCGGTTTCATTCTGTATTTTTCTTTAAATTTTCAAATCCTGTTTTCTTCATTCCATAATTTTAACTTACGACAGTAATTGGTTTCGCCTGCGATTTCTAAAAACCAAACAAATATTAAGCATGTAACTAAGAAATTAAGAAAACAAAATTAAAACGTCGTTCTTGTAAGACTCTTATTAAAAGAATGTTCATTAAGGAGAAACTCAGAGGAAAGCCACAAGGCTACAAGTATGCCAAAGTTTCGAAGTGGAGTGAGCTTTTTATGTAAAATTTGCGAGAGTGGCTCAATTTGATCTTTTTGAATAAAAGGGGCCTTTTTAAGCGAGCACTTTTGCAAGTAATAGTTTCTTTTATTATAACAGTAATATATATTTAAACGAATACATCGAGCCTGTGTCTATTAAGTGCGATAAAGAAGTCATAGGGTTTATTTAAGCATAGGACGATGAGACAAGTATGGTAACTTGTGCATGTCCGCCGCAAACCGTGTGATACTGACGACCAGCCCTATGCAACGCGAATGCATCGCGAGATTATGTGAATGTGTGCGTCCGTACACGGCATGGGACCGGCGCGTACACACACAAGTCACGCTGTTACGTTTTTATGGAATGAAGTTACCATTCTTGTCTTATTATACCATGGTTTAAGGTTGTGACCCTAATTAGTTTGAGAACATTCTTTAACGAAGGCACACCCCGGACACTCCATACAACAGTCGAAAGTGAGTTACCTACTACTACTACTACATATAGCGAGGCGCTATCTGCACACGTGCAAATGTGTGCGTAAAGTGGCAGGGCTACCCATCACTATCTAGTACAATTACGTTACGTGGTCAGAGAGGTGGTGTTATCTATGTATAATTCTATTAATAGAATCCTAATAGTTACACATGTTCATTAGGTATTTATATCGATATAATATTATATATTTCATTAATTCACTAACTAGAATAGTATTGAAGATTTATTTAAAAATATATATTAAAAGCATTTAAAATGTTATATTTTGGATGTGTACTTTAAATAAGATTGCGTGTGCAAGTTTATCATTACCTAGTCAATAATTAGATATATTAAATACGTAACATTTATCGGCAATACAAATTGAAAATTCGAGAACCCTTGCTACTAGCTCACGAAGTTATGGGGTCTCATTATGTTGATATAATAAATCTGTATTATGTATTACTCTGCACTAAATAATGAACAAAACAATAAGTGAATGAGTTTCAGGCAAGTCTTTTTTTTTACTTGTTTCTTTTTCATCTTTCGGAAAAAGAAAGAAACTCCTCTCTTTATCCCGTTTAGACGATGATAAACAGCCGTACACAATACAATTCACAACCATTATAAATAGTAACGTAAAATTATGTTGTATGTTAACGTATAAGTTTCGTAATCAATAAATGAAAACTATATTCAAATCAAAGCTGTCTTAGCACGAAAACGGCTCGTCGACAGCCTTATTGCCATTCTGCAATGTGACCGTCAATGTGCGGGATCTAAAGCTAGAGAGGGGCGGAGACTGTCCGTTCTTGTTACTTTTTTGTTCTTTGACTAAGGGCTTATTGTCAGACTTCCTGAACTAGTTAGCTGTGGCATTATTATAATAATAATAAATAACGCACACACTCAACATAGCCCCGCACTAGGGAAACCCTGTGTCGCGGGTGCCATGGACACACACATAGACAACCACATATACACCCAAACACACGAGAGAAATGAATGTAAGCCATACAAACATTTCTTCCGGCCCGAGAATCGAACCTGGGACCTCTGCGTGGCAGTCCGGCATGGTAACCGTTCGGCCACGGAGGCAGTTAAATTATTATTATTATGCTATGGATCAATAATGCAAGAGGACAGGTAATCGCGGTACAAAACAGCGTAGTTGAATATTTAGTACCTAATGGTAGACCATAATGGTACTCCCAAATAACTATTTTTTAACTAATTTGTAAATAATTGACGAACTACAATTTATCAATGCTATTCCAATTTCTAGTAATAACAAACAAATCAACTAGATTATGCTAAGCGAGCTTTTGATAGACTAGAAGTTTAATATAACAATGCATTTCGTGCTATGCTGCGGCTTCCCTGACGATGTAGTGCTTCTGTCATGTTTACCGGGAATAGATTAGATGATTTTTACGCCATAATACGTAAAAGATATTGGTCTTTTTTACGAGAATCAGAAATCACTGTAAGGACAATATGCGCTAAGTGCCACTTTTTAAATAGATATAGATAAATTTGTGAAACTAAATAAAGAAACATTTTATTTTTATTTATTTTTAACATAAATTATGTCGCCTTAGTATCATATACAAAAACGCACTTAGGTCTCTCATTGTTACCAGGGCGACATGAAATTGATGGAGTATACAATGACAGACGTATAATGGTCACTTTAGCGCGTTTAGAATTGACTCGTCTCCCGACTTCCCTAGGTGGTGTTTATTAAGAAATATGTGACATTTATTGTAAGTCAATATCCTTCATGTGGGCGAGTTCCATTATCGGTCAATTGGTGACATCACATGCAAGGTTTGGACAGATAGATATGTTCAAAAAAGATATATATCTAAGAAATATTACTTTAGTTAGGTCTGTATAAAAGTTAGCTTTGTTAAACTTTATAAGCTACGTAACTAGGTTTATAGCAATCTTTTTATTACATTTTTTCCGTTTTTCTTTACGATATTTACATAATGTAAGGTTTTCATCGTCTTTTTGAAGCAAAACTTATAAACCTCTTGCTTATATATTATTAAGGTAATAATAGCATCTGAAAGAGGTATAAATTAACTAACTAAAATGCTAACTACATACATTATTGTGTTTATTATATTTTACACCACAATTTTATCTTCGTCCTGAAAAATTACATAAAAATAACATACGAGATATATACTCTAAGATGGCTGTCTAATCCGACCAATGCTGCAGATCGCAGTCCGCGGACTGCAGCAGCAGTCTAAAGGCGCAAAACTGCATGCGACGCCACTGTTTTATCAGGATTTTATTTCAGGTATGGAGATACTGTTTCCTGCTACATCACACATAAAATAAATATTGATTGCGATCTGCCATTGCTGCGTCTGTAGAATAAAACCTATTGAATCTTTCGAGAAACTTCCTTCTTTTCCGAATTTCTAACATTATTTATTACTTGCGAAGTGCCTGCTCATAAAATCCTTACTTTATAAAGATTGGTGTGATGGAAAAGATATCTTACCGTTTGTATATTACACTGGTGTCAATGGTCAGTGTTTGGTCAAATTCTCACATGAGTCATTGTGAACATAATCACTTGACACATGCCTTCCTCGTCACATTGACGGAATGCGCTCGTTATTTTTTTAGTGCCGTTTTTATTGTCATTTTATTTGAACTTGTTATCGTCGAATGGTGGTACGATTGGAACGTTCGAATTGTTTAGAATATCTCAAATTGTAAACACAGTTCAATTCATCGTTAACATTTACATGTAATGGTAAACGTTTCCCTTTGTACTTACGATTAAAATTAATTATACCAGCTTATAAATAAGACGTTAAAGCTCAGTGAACTTGTAAATACTGTGATATAACTTACTAATGAAAATGTCTCGTGAATGTGACGATGTTAAAATAAAAATAAAAAGATGTTTTAAAGAAAACTGCCGTGAGAATCAGAGATTTTTCATAGAGTTTTTGCTCGATATGTTACGAACCAGCTCGTCATCCTTGCTCATGAGCTTTCGCGGCGGCAGTGGAGGATTCCGTACGTACATACATACACTAATCCTACATATGTGACTAATAAGAATGGACCAAACAAGGGTTGTTTTTTTATAATACTAAATTATAGGACGAGAAAGTCGTGTGCTTGATGGTAACCTGTTCATAACAGTTGCAGTGCCACTCAGAGCTTGAAATCTCAAAGATCTTAGGGGCACTGCCATTGCGCCCGTCAACCTGTGACATAAGTTGACAAGTCCCATGTGCCTGTAAATTCACCAGCACCCTTGCCCTTCCAAATCGGAATACAGTAATGCTGACATTACTGCTTGGCGGCAAATATAGGTAAGGTGGCAGTACTTCCGTGGACGAACTCTTTCACATGGAGCTTTATTGCTACTAAAAGTGGGTAGTTGCTTGCCGTTGTCCGCGTTCGCGCTTGTACTGAGTGACCGGGCTGTCAGGGTTTAGGCGCGTAGTTTTCGTCGAGACACTGCCGCGAAAGGTCACAAATAAAGACCACGGACACGTGTCGAATAAAAAGAAGTTGAATTTAATTTAATTTAATATGTTAAACTATATTCTTTCATCGTTACCAGTTAATAAAACTTACATTTTCTTTTGCAGATAAAGCGCTTCGTGGTGTCATTTAAAGATGTCGTAAGGTAATTTTATTCTTTTACTAAACAGTCATAGCTCCTTTGTAACCGTATTCAGTTTATATCAAGTAAACATCTACCTTATACCATACTATACATAATTCAATCCAGCAACGTAACATAAAATATTTCATCTTCGAATACCAATAGGATGGCCGATGTTTACCGTTTCTATTTGTGTTGGTCAACCTGTTTACACACGTTTGAAATGTGGCCTTTGCATCAAAGCGTTTAGCTTTTCAGGAGCTTATGGTGACTCTGCTATATTCTAGGTTTGGTCGCCTGACTTCTAATTGGACATTTTAAGACCTAGATTGATATTTACTACTTCCGTTTTGTGGACAGTAAATTTGAAGATTCTTAGATGTCACCTGTGCCACTTTAACGTACCTACTTAACGAATAAATCATTATATATCTGTAAATAAATAATAAAATAAATAAATATTAGACATCACATACGTTGTTCAAATCCTAAAGTAGTTGTAGAAATCGGAAACAACGACGGTATCATAATCACATAAACCTGAAACAATCCGTTTATACTTTCAAAAATAAACTCAGGAGCACATTTTAATAACTACAAAATACGCTTTGAGAAATTTTATTAGTGTAACGCACCGAGAAATATAAAATACATGAAGACAGATTGAACTATTTGAAAACGCTGTAGGTATGTGACAATGTCATTTTTCTAAATCAACTATGTCATTTATGTTGTACTTATTTTAATTAGCGTCCACATTTTTTATTCTCTTTTTAATTTTATTTGTTTTTTTTAAATCGCCCACTTTTGAAAAGGGTCCACTGAAAACAGCACTGTGTCTCCGCCGCCCTTTTCAGTTAAGCATAAAATCATAATATTATAGGTACTTCTAACATGTGTTTGTGCTGAATAAATTTATTTTCTTTCTTTCTTTCAAATAAAATAGAAAAGTTACTTTAATAAAAGTTAGTATGTCATATAACATTAAAATATTGCACAAGATATTATTAATAATAAATAATACGGCGTTCTTTTGTTCGGCTGTATAAACTTCTGACTATAAATGAACAGTTGTATAAAATATTTTATATTAAATATAAGGGTTTTACAGAGCTGTGTACTTTATACTTTGACTACTATTATATAATTTATTGATTGACTTCTATGTAATCAACATGTGGTCCTTGTGTAAAGGATATTCAGTAGCGGTATTTTCATAGTGGGCAAATAACACAATACAGCCCCGAGCATGTGTCAACTGCCTTACCGTAGATTATAGCATAATCCTGTTTCTGAACTAAACCGCTTTCATTGCTTTGTGCTGAGAATGTACCGATGCCCGTCAAGTGTGCCCTAAATCTGTTTTCGTAGGCCGTGTATGGCTTATGTGATCTACTTCATTTACCCCGCTTACTGTTTAACATTTAGTACCTCGTGTATTGTGGTTTGTAAGGAATGGAACGGAATTCCATTCAGATTTTCATTATTCCAAGAAAGGAGCAAAAAAAACTGTCGTCGCTAAATAGTTATGAAATATATATCGTATTGATGTTACAATAGTGTAGTAACTCAAAATATGTGAAATTCAAGATTATAATTATTGCTAAAAGTAAAATTCGATTATCTACACGCCAATAAAACCATCGTTAGAATATTGTAAGAAACAAGTCAAAGGTGTCTATTTAACTCAAAATGAGACATGATAAAATGATACAGTTCTTACTCAAAAATATGAAATTGTTTTTTCCCTTTTATTTTTAAATATATTTGGCCAGTAGGAAATTGTTTAGATGTCTGTGATAAACTTTAACATATACATAAATTTTAATTATCTCTTACGTGAGGTGAATTTCATTGATTCCGAAAAAATACACTTTTTGAGTTAATACACTATTGTATTGGTATACTACATAGTAATATAGTACTAGTGTAGCTTCTATATGAACGGATGACCTGGTATGGGCGGCGGGGTAACTGATGAATGCACATCGCTTCCTGGCTACTTTGGCAATCTTTTGGGGGAGGCCTATGTTCAGCAGTGGACGTTTTCCGGCTGATATGATGATGATAACGATGTATTAACAATGCGATATATCGCACTGTTGATACAATAGTGTATTCACTAAAAAAGTGTATATTCTCAGAATCGACGAAAAACTAATTATGTATGTATAGGTTATATTTTATTATAGACAATTTCCTACTTGCCAAATATATTTAAGAATAAAAGAGAAAAAATAATTTCCTATTTTTGAATAAGGACCATTTTGGCCACAACTAGCTCACATAACGCGTGTCTCATTTTGAGTTAAGTAGATTTCTTTTACTTATTTTTTTACAATATTCTAACTACGGTTTTAACCCATTAACGCCCAAATACAAATTAGCGTTAAAAATAGTAAAATTTTTTTATGAACCTTTACAAAATAGCCTAGTTATGAGAAAATTATGAAGAAAAAAAAGATTTTATTTTATTTTGTATGAAAAAAAATGCCGTCCTCAAATGGGGACAATGGGCTCAAGCGGTGTCAAAAAATTTGTAACAATATTTGTCGGTGCACAAAGACTTGACGCATTTTTTATATTGCCAACGCACTTATTTGTGGCTCAACAGCTATTTTTGCACATCGTAACTGTTAAGCCAACTTCTGAGCGTAGTGATCAACACCAATGTTCTGTAGATTTAGCACCAAAGAAGCTGCTGGATGTAAACTTTGAGTATTTGTTTCTCCAATAGTGACGTGATGTAACCGTTTAACTGATGTAGCTGATCTAGCTTCGTATTATTGGTCAGGAGGTGTAAACGCCATGTATTAGCTAGTGCTAGGTGCAGCTTGTAGTGGAACAAAACACACCACCAGTTTTTGCCTCGAATGGCAGTGCGATACAAAAAGATTGGTCAGCTTGATTTATCCTGCTGGTACGTTTGAAATCACGCAGGATACCCACGTCAGCTTTCTGTTTATTCACAGTGCTTTATCTTTTTACTTTCACCAGAGAAAGGACATTATCATAATCAGAGCTCATCGTGCAAATACTATTGTCAAGCCATGGAAAAAACAGAATTTGGTTGATTGGGTAAAATCGATAGTCAAAATTGGCACGGTTTTACTCTACATGTGTATTACAAATCTGGTCAAGTAGATATTTCTTAGTTTTTCCTTTGCAGACAGTTTCAGTTGTTCGATAACCAGTTTGCCGTAGATTATTAGATCTTGTTACATAAGAATAGTACTTCTACATTGGTGAGCGCCCTCAGTTCCAGGGGAAATGCCCCCTAAATCTATCTCCACATCATGGTCTCTCTCATCCATTACAGCTTCAATAGCTTTCTGAAGCCCATAGTAATAATTGTGGCTGCCAAATACCTGTTGTGTCATTATTTCGTTGAAAATTACTTATAGATGAAAAACTAATAAACTACCCCATAAGCGCCCAATGGCCCCAATTGGGGACACCGTTATATACCACCGTCTGAAGTTGTCAAAACACTATTTAACTCAATTATATAATTTTTATTTTATAGTATACGAATACATTTCAATAATATATGTAAAAAAAGAAATAAATTGTTGGTAATAACATACAGGAAAAACAACTAACTTTAGCGTTTCACGTGTGCGTAAGTTAACCCCACAAAAGGAACAGTCAAACCACTTTTATTTAATTCTAAACAATTTTTTTAAATAATAAAATTAAGATCCACTATTTTACTTTACATATACACTTTTGTAATGAGTATTAATAGTAATATAAAAAAATTACGGGTGCTCAAAGTAGTGTCCTCGATTGGGCACGGCGGGCGCAAATGGGTTAATGATGTGTAAAGAATCAAATTCTACGTTCAATAATGGTATAATCTTGAATTTCACATATTTTGAGTTATAACACTATTGTAATAGCAGTGCGATATATGTTAACGAACCCTTCTGAAAGGATACTCTATGTCATCATCATCATCATCATCAATAATACGTCTCACTGTTGGGCATGGGTCTCTTCTCAGGCGAAAGGTTAGGCCATAGTTTTATTTTTTATGTAAAGAAGGAGGCAAACGTGCCGACCAGCGACTTGATGGGAGGTGGTCATCGTCGCCCATGGACATTTGCAACATCAGATGAGCTGCCTATGCGTTGCCAGCCTTTGAGAGCCCTGTAAACACGCTTTTTGAAGCCAGTTTTAAAAAGCTTTTTTTTAAACTTTTTTGAGGCCTTAGTCCGCCACACTGGCCCAATGGGAACTTTGCACGTTTCCCGAGGGTTGTCAACCTTCTTCGAAATGCAGGTTACATTACGATGTTTTCCTTAACCGATAAGCTCATACCCTATGTAGCGAACTATTTAACAGACAAATAAAACATTAATGACACCGCTTTATTCAATAAACTAGAAGATTTGGACTTAGTTATCAACGTAAGTGCAGCGTGTGCCATTATAATGCGTCCTGTCACATTGTGCAAATGTGTCATTACGCGTACGTGTCATTATACGTTTATATGTATGTCATTATATGTACATGACATAATGGGTATAATGCGACTTAACTTTCTACACAAAAATCGTAACAGAAGAAAGTAAGGCGAATGCGGTAAATGGCTATCGACAGATAGCTAATGTAGGTTTAATGTGGCACAGTCAGGGGCTTTGTGTTGAGACAGACAGAGAGAGAGAGAGAGGCAGATTGTTTGTCTGTGATCCACTTTTATCATTGGCTGATACAATATTATAATGACATAATAATGGTATCGTAGACTTAAAAGCATACAGTTATCATTATTTTCTTTTATTTTAGATCATACTCGAGCCAATATAGAATGGTGATTTTGATAGCTAGAAACAGTAATAGAATATAAATGAATTATAATTGCCAACATAAGAAACTAATAATTATATAATTCTATGAATTCGAACCACGAACGTATTAATTACGGTTAAGTATTAATAACCAATAATTTAATTTTATACCTGCATTTGAATTCCAATTAATTGTCGTTACCATTAGTTGTTCGAGTGGAAGTGAAA